CAAAAGCTTTGCTGGCTGAGGAATTCTGGGAGTTGAAGTCCAAAAGCCTATCTTGACCAACCTAGTTGACAATTTTGTCATCCAAAATGTAGAGGGGACTAGAGGAAAAGCTATATTGGATCTAATTCTTACTAATAGAGAAGAAATAATAGAGAAGGTTGAAGCCTCAGGAACTTTGGGAGAGAGTGACCATGACATACTGGAATTCAATATAATGCTGACACAAGCAATAGAACATAATGAGGAAAGGAAAAAAGCCTTGCCCTTTAAGGAATAGGCAAAGTTCTTTGCTTTTGTAGATTCAAATTTCCCGGCTGGGAGAAATGCAAAATGATTTGGTCAGCTGCGTTGAAAGTCAGAATCGGTTTATTAATAGGAAGGCAGGTAAAAAGAAATCTCACAGCATTCCTAGGATTAATCTAATCAGCAGGTAAGAAAACCTCTCTCTTATGCACTTCAGGTTCTTTGATTTGTCTGTGCTGAATTCCTGTCTCTTTGAGATTGGGATCTCTTCCTGGGATCTTGGTAGGAGTAATTGTTTTATAGTCCAATCTGTTTTTCCCTGATCCTTTGTAGCTATCAGTTTGTACCTGGTTGCAATATCCTGAGTTTCCTGTTATGCTGTTTGCTTTTCACAAGTTTTCTTGTAGCTTGCTATCTATTTGATTTCTATGGGAAAGGATCTTAGCTAGTTTGTAGGGTTTTTTCTCTGTATCCCATGCCTGTAATTTTCTCCTTCCTTTTGTTGTGAAAAGTAAGCTGGCTCCAGCTATTTTAATAGCCCTACTTGACAAAGGGTGGGGGCTGTTTTCCTAGAAGAGAGGAGAATTGTAACTTCCAACATAGTAAAACCAACGTTTTAGATTTCAAAAGAGCTGATTTCAACAAACTTAGAGAGAGCTTGGAAAGGATTCCATGGATGAAAATCTTAAATGGGAAAATAACCCAGGAAGCTTGGGAAACTCTAAAAAAGATTATTATAAAAGCCCAGACCAGCACAATACCATTGAAAAAGAAAAATAAGAAATACAAGAAGAAATCAACATGGTAGCACAAAGAACTCTCTGATAAACTGAAAGACAGAAAAGAATAAGTATAAAAAATGGAAAGAGGACACATAACTAAGGAAGAATACCAGCATACAGCTCGAATCTGCAAAGATGAAATTAGGAAAGCTAAGGCTCAGAATGAACTAAGATTTGCAACAAATGTCAAAAATAATTTTAAAACCGATAAAGAACAAGACAAAAGTAAAGGAAACAATTGGTCCACAAATGGGAGACGATGGCAAGAAAGTGACAGGCAGCAGTAAGAAAGCAGAGCTGCTTAATTCTTTGCATCTGTTTTCACGCAAAAAAAAAAAAAAAGCACAGACTACCAAAAACACAACTGTAAAAGATAGATTAGGAACCCAAATTAAAATAGGCAAGAAAATGGTGAGAAAACACTTGTCCATTCTAGACAAATCCAAATCACCAGGTTCTGGTGGATTATATCCCAAAGTTCTGAAGGAGCTGGCAGACATGATCTCGGAACCATTGAATTATATCTTTTAAAGATCCTGGAGTACCAGGAAACCACCAGAGGACTGGAAAAGAGCTGATGTGGTTCCCATCTTCAAAAAACCGAAACAAATAGATCCAGGAAACTGTAGACCAATCAGCCTGACATCAATACCTGGAAGATCCTGGAAAAGATAATCAAACAACTGATCTGCAAACGGAGAAGCAAGCAAAACTGCAAGCAAAAGCCAATGTGAGGTTGTCAAAAACAGATCCTGCCAAACAAATCTTATTTCATTCTTTGACAAAGTGACTAAATTAACGGACCAGCGAAATGCTGCAGACGTAGTATACTTGGGTTTCCATAAAGCTTTGACAAACTAGACCACAGCCTATTTTTTGGTAAGCTAGAAAAATGTAGGATAGACAGCATTACCACCAAATGGATTTGTAACTGGCTGACAAACCACAATCAACGAGTCCTCCTTTAATGGAACAACATCTACATGGATGGAAATAAGCATGGTTCTGTTTTAGGCCCAGTACTCTTCAATATCTTCATAAACAATTTAGATGAGGGAATAGAAGGGGAACTCATCAAATTCACAGACAATACCAAGTTGGCAGGAATAAATGGATCTTGACAGACTTGAACACTGAGCCCTGTGTAACAAAATGAAATTCAATGTAGAGAAAAGCAAGGTTTTACACTTAGGAAAATAAAACCAAATATACTGTACAGGTACAGATTAGACAAAACTTAACTCAATAGCAGCAACTGTGAGAGAGATCTTGGAGTTCTGGTAGACAACCACTTAAATATGAGCCAACAGTGTGTTGCAGCCACCATAAAGCCTGATGGAATCCTAGGCTGCATTAACAGAGGGTTAAAATCAAGATCGTGTGAAGTGTTACTGTTAAATCGGGGTGGATCGGTTCCCAAGGAGACGCGAGACCATAGTAACTTTCAGCTCTTTATTTGTGTCAGTTCAGTACAAACAAACTGGAGCCGCGGCAACCCTTCTTATGGGGATTGCTCCCGGCTCGGCAGCCAATGGCAGCGCTTTGAATCTCCCGCGATCGGCTCGGCCAATCGCGGTAGATTCTCAGTGCACCAATCACAGCCGCGGAGTCAACCAATCCGGTTGCGGTCCGTGCGGACCAATCAGGTGTCAGGTTTTGGAATATGCTAATATAGCACAGTTACTACCATTTTATAAGGCCTTGGTACAACTACACTTGGAATACTGCATCCAGTTTAGTTATCATATTATAAAAAACATGTTGAGACCAGTGGTGGGATTCAAATTTTTTTACTACCGGTTCTGTGGGCATGGCTTGGTGGGCATGGCAGGGGAAGGATATTGTAAAATCTCCAGTCAGAGGTGGTATTTACCGGTTCTCCGAACTACTCAAAATTTCCGCTACCGGTTCTCCAGAACTGGTCAAAACCTGCTGAATACCACCTCTGGTTGAGGTTCTGGAAAGGGTGTAGAGAAGAACAATTAAGATGATCAGGGGGCCAGAGGCTAAAACATATGAAGAACAGTTCCAGGAATTGGGGATGTCTAGTTTAATAAAAAGAACTAGGCATGACATGATAGCAGTGTTTCAATATTTGAGGGGCTGCCACAAACTTATTTTCCAAAGCATCAGAAGACAAGAAAAGAAGCAATGGATGGAAATTAACCAAGGAGAGAAGCAACCTAGAACTAAGGAGACATTTCCTGACAGTGAGAACAATCAACCAGCTTGCCTTCAGAAATTGTGGGTGCTTCATCACTGGAGGCTTTTAAGAAGAGATCGGACATCCATTTGTCTGAAATGGCATAGACTTGAGCAGGGGGTTGGACTGGAAAACCTCCAAGAATTCCTTGCAACTGTGATGATGTTGATGAACATCCCGCCACCCACCCATCCTGCCCTGCCAGATTCCCAAATGGTCCCCATTTCATTCCACATGTTCCTCCTCCATCCCTCACAATTCCTCACTTACCTTCTGGAAACCTGCAGAACTCGGGAGGCAGGGGAAGAGAAGGAGAGCAGGAGTTTCTTACTGAACCCCTGACATCTTACTGAACCAGCGGCATTCTTTTGTTCTCAAGTGCACCTTGTGAAACCTGATCTGCTGGACTAGGCAAAGTAGCTCTTCCTGCTCCCTCTGCCTCTTTATCTCTTAGCTCTTTATTGTTCGTTCTCCATTTGGGCAGAGCTAGATCAGGTTTTAAAATGTGCTTCGCTCGTCTTGTCCACCAGGTGTTCCACAAACAATTCTGCATAGCCCTGAAGATAGTCATCTGAGCCACCCTTCCCTAAAATAGAGCAGATGACCCTAACTCAGCAAATGCAATAAAGGCAGAGAAATAAAGGCATGTCACCACCAAGGTAGGTCTTGATAGCAGCTCTAACCTGTTGAGTTGCACTCGTCCCTCGTTTTACTCTAGCAGTACTCCAGACATCTTTTGGTCTTTCCCTTTTACAGGGAGTATTCAGAGTGATGGGCCAAGTGGTGCAGTGGCCTAGAGGTGGAGCTCTCACCTCACAATCAGGAAGGCTGTGAGTTCGATCCTAGGTAGAGGCAGATATTGCTCTCTCTGGGCACAATGAGACTCTATCTGCTGAACAAAGCTCTGCATTGGCAACAGGAAGAGCATCCGGCCAGTAAACACTCAGCTCCATTTAGTTGCCCAGACTCCACCTCACAAAGGATTATGGGGTCATTAAACAAAGATGATGATGATTCAGAGTGATGGGCTGAGACAAGATACACAGGTGCAAACCTGTCCAGGGCTTTGGCCACTTTCTGGTTCCAGGCT